AAAAAAAAAAAAAACTGATCTAAGGTTGAATGCTTACTCGTTTTCAAATCAAAAAAAAAAAATTGCAATTTAACTATTGATTTTTAAATTGCAAAAGCTAAACTGCCATTTAAACATTTTTAAATAGCACAGATTTTAAACAATCTGAGCAGCATTCCCCAGGCTTCTGGTGCACACAGACTGCCTTCATCTGCAGGCTTCATGTGAAACCTGCAGTGCAACTGAGTGCGTAAGGACAGAAAGACATTTCACTTTGGTGCTGCTACAACAGCCGGACCGGAAACAGTCACAGCAGTCAGCAAAACCAAGTGTCGATGACCAAGAGACAACACTAACATTAGTGTCAAAGCGGTTCTCTAGACCTATTTTAGTTTTAGACCAGAGAATGCACGACAGGAACGTGCTGAACATACCTGGGTACAGTAGCGACAAAGTGAAGCAACACCACAAATTTCTTCTGACATTTAAAAAAAACAAAACAGTTGCCACCTGTTCCTTATAGAATGGAAATGATAAGAGTTACAGATTGATAGAGTACAAACGAATAGAACTTGGGTCTCGTATCACACTCCTTTTTCTTAGTGTTGTTTTTATGAGCAGTAAAGCTACGGCAAGAGAGCCTGATGTAATGTGTGCTTACACGTTACTATGACAATTAACATGGGGTCACCACTGAAAATGTGGAAATACACCTACTCACAGAGCTACACTATTCGTATGATGACCTATTTAGACATAAAAATGGCAATTTTCAACAAATGGCAATACTGCACCAATACTTAACTCTCCTTTTATTCCTATATTCCCATTTGATAAGGTTACATTTCATATATTGCCAGAAACAATATCTTTCTATTGACAGTTGTGATCCTCTTGCTCTACCATACTTTTCATACACAGCCTACACCCTCTCCTCTCTTCCTCTTTCCTTCTGTGTGACATTTTCATTTAATCCCAGTGCTTTCCCTTTACCCGAAAAAATAAATGAACCCAGCCTTGTTGCTAGTGTTGTTCTGGCATTTCATTATCCTGGCTTGCTCCAAAGCTTTAGAGTAGCAGTCTGCCTGCTGTTCCATGCTACAGTGAGTGCTAAATAATTAACCTCCACTTGCTACACCGCTGCTAGACGAAAAAAAAAAAAATAGTGTTGGTGTATGTGATGCAAGTGGACATCAAGGTTACAATCACACACTGTTGCTGTGCTGTTATAGTATGATTTAGTAACCAACACTGTCTCACACTCTCTCAGATCCTCTCACACCACGTACTTGGTTGGATTCATATTGGTATATTTTTGTTTTGTTTTTTCCCCAAATGTTTTGGATTGTGTGGAGTTTCATCTCAAAATTATCACACAAGGATTAACAGTGAGCAAAGGTTAAGTGACATGCAGATGAGGAACCTTAGGCAATTTTACAACCTCTGACAGCACATTTTATGGCAATCTGTCATCTTGGTCCTCAGGCCTCAGCTGCTCTGCACAACTCATCGTGTGCGTTAATAGGACCGGAAGCATGTGCTGACCATGCTTGAGTTATTCAAATTGACTGCCATTTCCTGTGTCCAGCTTGGATTGGTTTCTAGAATATGCATTCATATTTTAGCAGCCTGCTGTTATATTTCTGAGTGATAAGCAAGTATAATGGAAGTACCATGTTGAGACCAGGCATCTCCTTCTGTTTCCAGGCTGGACAGAGAAGAACAGCTGTGCTTTCTAGTCTGGTCAAATACTTGGGCGCAGAGGCCGCTTCTTTCATCCACTATGAAGAGAAAGTAAGTACTTCAGGGGGTGGATGTGTGCTTTAATAAAACAATATTTTTGTTTAGGGCAGAATTCCATAGTGCCAAAATTTAGTCTCATTTTTATTCTGGATTCAACAAAGGAAAGCCAAGTCTGCACTCTGTCAACAAAACTGAACCAGATTTAATTATTTAAATAGAGTACTGCAATGCATATTGACACAGCCAGCTGCTAAAACGTATATACTGTATGTCTGTTAAATTGAAAGTGTTTATAGTCTTTTTATTCTAACTTTACAACACAATAATAAAAACAGGGGCCCAAATCTGGCTAGCAAAACCGTACGATGGTCACATTCTGCCACCCCTAATTTTGTATTCCTGCAATGCAATACAACTGCTAATCCAGATTCATTAAATGTGCTACTGTGGGCTACAGATGGCCATGACATAATCCATATTCAGAAAGATACATCATAGACAAATGCAAGGAAAAACCAACATAAAAAGTCACCACATGCCACCAGAATAGCTCCAATGCTCCTTGGCACTGATTCTCCAAGTCTCTGAACTCCACTGGAGGGATGGACTCCATTCGTGCAGCTGCAATGCAGACCATTGAGTCAATTAAGGTACTTTAAAACTCTTACTGCCTGACTGCCACAATTGGCTTCAAAATTCATACTTTTTTTTGGAGTCGTATGTAAATTTTTCTCCCCCAATCAGTGTGAATGGAGGATCTCCAGTGTTCATCATGAACTAGAAAGTCACTTTCGGCTTTTCCCGTTTAGGGGTCACCACAGCGAATCGTTACACTGACGACTCACATGTTGACATTTGGCACATGTTTTACGCTGCATGCCCTTCCTGACGCAACCCTGACTCGAACCCGGGCAGCAGCTGCGAGAGCGCTGCGCCTTAACCACTAGCCTACCAGGGGCGAAATGTTCATCATAAACCAACATCCATAAATTTGTTTAGAGATCATAAAATGATTCAACTACAGAACTTGACTGAGAATCAAAGTTTGTTTCCTTCGCTATCAAAATAATCCAGTGAGAGGTCTGTACATCCATGAGTACACTGCTAACAAGGACAGGTAATAACCAATTCTGCATAATAGATGGATGAAATGTTGGTGAGGGGGTGCAACCATCTCAGTTGTCTTAGGGGGGACTTTGACAATCTCTTGCCCATGGTATACAGTACATCATGTTTTCATCGGTTGTGTTAATAAGTCAATTAAACAGTATTAGTGGGGGAGGACTGTTAACTACCATAGCACACTATAGTGGTAAAGTTATTTAACCTGTCTGCTTTACAGGACTGGGCTGAGGAGGACTACAGTGGGGGCTGCCCTGTAAATGTCATGGCACCAGGTCTGCTAACATATTACCACCCTAGCCTGAGGAAGCCATGTGGCAGGTAATCACACCACTGATGACGAATACACCACAGCATCATACCTCTCCTGTACTCAAAGCACTCACATTTCCTCTGTGTTCTTATGAAAACAAATAGTTATGTTGAGGGACACGGTAGATTAAACCAGTTTGATAGTTTATAAAATCCTTGATGTAAATATTTTTAAGAGCTACCTTTTGACTTTATAAAAACAGTAAGTGCCATTACTGTAGGACAGATTTGAAGCGTGGTTTCTGGATGTTCATGCTACTGTACCTATAAACCACAGAAACAATCTCTGCACTTCACCCTGGCAACCAGAGAGACTACACCTTCACTGATACATATTGGTACAGCTCTAAAGAAATGGCAAGAGATTGTCTGGAGTGGTGTTCTCATAGGAAAACGTCCTCTAATCCATTTCTAATGGCCTGTTCAGAGATGCAAAATGCTGAACAAATAAAACCAAGGGATCCAGGTAACACATTCTATAATGACATCAAGTCCATGGGGAGCCGAGGAGGCTCATTATAGCAGGATGGGGCGGTAGCCCTTATATGCATTTTTACCATATATACAGTAGGAAACAGATCCTCAAGGACATGAAGTGTCCTTGACAAAAACCCAGAACATTTAATGAAGACAAGTCTGTGCTTGTTTGCCAAACCTGCAGCTAGTATTGTATTAAACAGCATAACGTGTCTGGTAGTGTGGTGGATTATGGGAATTCATTTGCGGATGATGTGGATCTTACTACTGAGCATAGTGCGGTTTTTATAATTAGAGTAATTAGACTGGGTAGGTACTGTGCCTGAGTGTTCTGTATATGTGAGGTTTTCACAGGGAGACCCACTCTACTCACTCCAGTGTGGCAAGAGAGATTAGAGAAGAGAGTGAGTAAGAAAGAAAAGCTGCCAATGACTATGAATAAATTAGCCCCAGTGTGTTTGTGCTTAACTACGTTAACAGCTCTAAAACGCACACACACACAACGAAAATGTTATGACAAGAATTACTTATTAGGAAGTTAAAATTTTTCAAAATACCTTATTACTGCAAAGAGACAAATATTACTTTAATCAACTTATGATAAACAGAACACATTTAACATCTTTTACAACTGTTAGTTTTGACCTGATGTGGCGTAGCACATATCAGATATTTTTGCATTCTAAAACTGATCATGCACCATGATTCTGCGGAAACTAATAACTGGAAATCTCCAACAGAGCTGGGTGACCACAAAAGGTAAGTCTGCATTCATTCAGCTATTTCAGGATTAGTCTCTCAGTTGTTCTCTACACACTGTTCTGAAAGGGAGGCAGCAGCACTGCTCCTCCTCCTTGAACACCAGAACAACTCCTCAGGGAGCCCCGTTTGTGATCAAAACAGAGTTATAATACATTGATATTCTCCCTTTTACACAGGCTTCTGCTTCTTATGGGGCAATGCTTGATGTCTACAACCCTAATACAGTCATGGTAAAAAGAATGTTTCTAATTCATAAGGGGCTAAAATAGAAAGCAACAGTGATGGCCTCCCCAACTTCGGGAACAAGGAGAACTAGGCTCCAATGACCCCAAAAAAATTTAATTATTTCAGTATGTGACTACCCAAAAGTAAACTAGCATTCAGAAACCAGGTGGGAATATGAAAGTACAACCTTTTACTTCCACAGCCATTAAGAGAGTAATCAGCAGCCAGGTGTTACTAAACAAATGCACAAGATTATTCACTTATTCAAGAGCCCATGGCATTTTTTCTGTTTTTCTACTTATCTACAATGTTACAATGAATTACCATCTTAAATGTTACTGAAAGCTCAAAAAAAAGGGTGTACCTATGCTGTTGTACTTCTACGTAGAAGTAAGGCTCAAACTCTTGCTGGTGAGACCGTTTTTCCCCAAACTACCACCTTTGTGCAAATTAATTGAAACAAACCCTGAAAACAACAAAAATCTGTTTTTCTCAATTTTCTTTATATGAACAATATTCTAACACATCAGTACATGATATGACCTCCTCGACTCTTTGAGAAGCATCTGGATGCGATTTGCATCGAATCTACCAATTCTGAACAGTCTAGGATGATTTTGGGCTCCTTGTGCCAAACTCGAATTAGGGCCTGAATCATCTTCTCCATGGTTGTGCAGTCCACTCCGCGAAGTCGTTGCTTACAAATAGACCATAAATTTTCAGTTGGGTTTAGATCGGGAGAGTTTCCAGGCCAGTCCAGTGTGTTAATTTGATTCTCCTCAAAAAAAAAATTCTTCACCCGTTTGGATGTGTGACACGGGGCCAAATCTTGTTGAAAAACACCGGATCCATCAGGAAATAACTATCAGTTCTGGAGCAACTTTTCTGCTGAGATGTTCAATGTACTGTGGTGAGCTCATCATGCCCTCAATTGGATGCACGCTACCAATGCCATAATAGCTGAAGCAACCACAAAACATCTTTTTTTGTGGGTGTTTTATTCTCTGGTCGATGTGGGCATTGGAGAGCTTTTCATTTGGTGACCTCCAAATACGCCGACTTCTCTGTCCCTGAACAAAAGAAGATGGCTTTCATCACTAAAAAGGACTTTTCTCCACTCTTCTTTAGCCCAGTTCTTATATTTCAATGCCCATTTATAACATTTCACTTTCATAGCTTTGGTCAGGAGTTGTTTTTTCACTGGCCTGTAGGCTTTCCGGCCTACCTCCAAGAGACGCCTGCGAACAGTGCATGAGCTTACTTCTATTCCTTTCTCCTTTAAATCAACTTTTAAGACATCACTTGTTTTTCTAGGGTCTTTCACACTTTCCCGTATCAAGTAAGCGTCATCTCTTGGTGTGGTTTTCCTCTTTCGACCACATTTACCTTTGCGCTTTGGAGAAACGGAGCCTGTTTATATGAACTATAATGCAATCACAGACAATATCGTATAGGGTATCTACCGATTATTGCATCAGAAAATGATTAAATATCTCCTTGCG